ACACACGCACTCACACACACACACTCACTCACCCACTCACACACCCACTCACTCACTAAATCACCCACTCACTCACACACACACCCACTCACTCACTAAATCACCCACTCACTCACACACACACACACTCACTCACTAAATCACCCACTCACTCACCCACTCACTCACTCACCCACACACTCACCCAGTGGCGGTGGCGTCACCACGGCGCTTGTGCCAGGCTAGGTGCACGTTAAGGCCACGTGAAGTGTCAAAACGACCGCTGGCAGGTTATGGGGCAGACCCAGCAGGTGCCACGGGTTGACCGACCGAGACGAGTGACCGATGCACCACCTGTGCCCACTACTGTGCCAGGCTAGGTGCACCACCTGTGCCCACTACTGTGCCACCTTGCTGTGTTTTAGCCACCCGGCGCTCCGCTCGGTGTTGTGAGCTTCGCTGCTGGAGAGCGACTGCCTCCATCTGGAGATCCGCAAGCCTCTCCTCAGCGTGCCTGGCAAGGTGATGCTGAATAATCCTTGCCAGGACCTTTCCCGGCACACTGAGGAGTGAGATGCCCCTGTAGTTGTTACAGTCTGTGCGGTCCCCCTTCTTAAAGAAGGGGGACCACCAGGACATCCTTCCAATCCTGCGTAACCCGTCCAGTGGTCCAGACTGTTGTTATGATGTCATGTAGGGTAGTCTGTGAAACAAACGCCGCCGTCCCTCAGCATTTCGCTTGGGAGATCATCTCTGCCCGCTGTCTTTCCTGGTCTCAGACTCCGGATTGCCTTCAGTACTTCCTCAACAGATGGCACCTCAGCCAGCCACTCACAGGGGGTGACTTCTTCCAATATTTGAGGCACCGCAGCCTCAGCAGGGTCATCCTCACTTTGTGCCACGATGTTTTCCGGGCTGAGGGATTTTCCCTCCCCCAGGACCTCGCAGAAATGCTCAGCAAAATCTGCAAACCTATTCCTGAGGGTTCAGAGATCGGATCACCGTTCTTTCCCCAAATGATGGTGATTGGTGTGGCGCTGCAGGTTACTTTTTTGATGGAGTTAAATAGAAATTTGTGATCGCGGGCCGCTGAGCAAACCCACAACCACCACCCCATCCTTGCAGCGCCTCACGGCTCTCCGAACCTCCGAGCGAAGGCAGCGGTAGGTAAGCCTCCTCAATCTCCGACGTGGGATGCTGTAGCCGACGACAGTGGGCCCCTGTCGCTTTTTCCTCAGCCATCCTGAACGCCTCCACCCCCCACTCCGTCGGCCAGGCTCTCCGGGGGGGAGGTCTGGACCGCGTACCCAAAGCAGCCATTGCATCCGCACGAGCCCTTCCCCCCCTCCCACAGCATCGCTCACATCCACCACGCTCGTCACCGTCCGGCAGTGGCGATGCGGTTAAGGGGGTGGTGGTTGTCTTTTGGCTCGCTCGCACACTCGCCCAAACAGCGTCATTTCGCAAGCGCTCAGAGATGTGTATTTCACGGTTTTTTTTTTCGTTTCGTTTTTGCCTGCCGGAGACATCGAAGAGACGAGAGGGTGCCCCCTGTGAAGGTGGAGACCGGTGGGACACGAAGATGGATGAGCACACGGAGGGATACCGCACGTGGTGGTGGTGGTGGTGGTGGTGGTGGAGGCGGTGGTGGTGGTGGAGGCGTTGGTGGTGGTGGAGGTGGTGGCGGTGGTGGTGGAGGTGGAGGCGGTGGTGGAGGTGGTGGTGGTGGAGGCGGTGGTGGAGGCGGTGGTGGTGGTGGTGGAGGCGTTGGTGGTGGTGGTGGAGGTGGTGGCGGTGGTGGTGGAGGTGGAGGCGGTGGTGGAGGTGGTGGTGGAGGCGGTGGTGGTGGTGGAGGCGGTGGTGGTGGTGGAGGCGGTGGTGGTGGTGGAGGTGGTGGTGGAGGCGGTGGTGGTGGTGGTGGTGGAGGCGGTGGTGGTGGTGGTGGAGGCGGTGGTGGAGGCGGTGGTGGTGGTGGAGGCGGTGGTGGTGGTGGAGGCGGTGGTGGTGGTGGTGGTGGAGGTGGTGGAGGCGGTGGTGGTGGTGGAGGCGGTGGTGGTGGTGGAGGCGGTGGTGGAGGTGGTGGTGGTGGTGGAGGCGGTGGTGGTGGTGGAGGTGGTGGTGGTGGTGGTGGTGGAGGTGGTGGTGGTGGTGGTGGTGGAGGCGGTGGTGGAGGCGGTGGAGGCGGTGGTGGTGGTGGAGGCGGTGGTGGTGGTGGTGGAGGCGGTGGTGGTGGTGGAGGCGGTGGTGGTGGTGGTGGAGGCGGTGGTGGTGGTGGTGGAGGCGGTGGTGGTGGTGGCGGTGGTGGTGGTGGTGGAGGCGGTGGTGGAGGCGGTGGTGGTGGTGGAGGCGGTGGTGGTGGAGGCGGTGGTGGTGGTGGAGGCGGTGGTGGTGGTGGCGGTGGTGGTGGCGGTGGAGGTGGTGGCAGTGGTGGTGGCGGTGGTGGTGGTGGAGGCGGTGGTGGTGGTGGAGGCGGTGGTGGTGGTGGTGGAGGCGGTGGTGGTGGAGGCGGTGGTGGTGGTGGAGGCGGTGGTGGTGGTGGAGGCGGTGGCAGTGGTGGTGGAGGCAGTGGTGGTGGCGGTGGTGGAGGCGGTGGTGGTGGTGGAGGCGGTGGAGGCGGTGGTGGTGGTGGCGGTGGAGGTGGTGGCAGTGGTGGTGGAGGTGGTGGTGGTGGAGGCGGTGGTGGTGGAGGCGGTGGAGGCGGTGGTGGTGGTGGTGGAGGCGGTGGTGGTGGTGGAGGCGGTGGAGGCGGTGGTGGTGGTGGTGGTGGTGGAGGCGGTGGCAGTGGTGGTGGCGGTGGTGGTGGTGGAGGCGGTGGTGGTGGTGGTGGTGGTGGTGGTGGTGGAGGTGGTGGTGGTGGAGGCGGTGGTGGTGGTGGAGGCGGTGGTGGTGGTGGAGGCGGTGGTGGTGGTGGAGGCGGTGGTGGTGGTGGAGGCGGTGGTGGTGGTGGTGGTGGAGGCGGTGGCAGTGGTGGTGGCGGTGGTGGTGTTGGTGGTGGTGTTGGTGGTGGTGGAGGTGGTGGCGGTGGTGGTGGTGGTGGTGGTGGAGGCGGTGGTGGAGGCGGTGGTGGTGGTGGTGGAGGTGGAGGCGGTGGTGGAGGTGGAGGCGGTGGTGGAGGTGGTGGTGGTGGAGGCGGTGGTGGAGGCGGTGGTGGTGGTGGTGGAGGCGTTGGTGGTGGTGGTGGTGGTGGCGGTGGTGGTGGTGGAGGCGGTGGTGGTGGTGGAGGTGGTGGTGGTGGAGGCGGTGGTGGTGGAGGCGGTGGTGGAGGCGGTGGTGGTGGTGGTGGAGGCGGTGGAGGCGGTGGTGGTGGAGGCGGTGGTGGTGGAGGCGGTGGTGGTGGTGGAGGCGGTGGTGGTGGTGGAGGCGGTGGTGGTGGTGGTGGAGGCGGTGGCAGTGGTGGTGGCGGTGGTGGTGGTGGAGGCGGTGGTGGTGGAGGCGGTGGAGGCGGTGGTGGTGGTGGAGGCGGTGGCAGTGGTGGTGGCGGTGGTGGCAGTGGTGGTGGAGGCGGTGGTGGTGGTGGAGGCGGTGGAGGCGGTGGTGGTGGTGGTGGAGGCGGTGGCAGTGGTGGTGGCGGTGGCGGTGGTGGTGGCGGTGGCAGTGGTGGTGGCGGTGGAGGTGGTGGCAGTGGTGGTGGTGGTGGTGGAGGCGGTGGTGGTGGTGGAGGCGGTGGAGGCGGTGGTGGTGGTGGAGGCGGTGGTGGTGGTGGTGGAGGCGGTGGTGGTGGTGGAGGCGGTGGAGGCGGTGGAGGCGGTGGTGGTGGTGGTGGAGGTGGTGGTGGTGGAGGCGGTGGTGGTGGTGGAGGCGGTGGTGGTGGTGGAGGCGGTGGTGGTGGTGGAGGCGGTGGTGGTGGTGGAGGCGGTGGTGGTGGTGGTGGAGGCGGTGGCAGTGGTGGTGGCGGTGGAGGTGGTGGCAGTGGTGGTGGCGGTGGTGGTGGTGGAGGCGGTGGAGGCGGTGGTGGAGGCGGTGGTGGTGGTGGTGGCGGCGTCCTGGGGACTAAACAACGCCTGGGGAGGTGACGGAGAGAGCCAAAAGACTCGCACACAGAGAGACTCGCACCGAGAGAGACTCACAGTGAGAGAGGGGTCTAGGGAGGGGTCTAGTGGGGGTCTAGGGGGGGTGGGGAGTCTAGGGAGGGTCTAGGGAGGGTCTAGGGGGGGTCTAGGGGGGACTAGGGGGGTCTAGGTGGGTCTAGGGAGGGTCTAGGGGGGTCTAGGAGGGGTCTAGGGGGGCCTAGGGGGGCCTAGGGGGGGCTAGGGGGGTCTAGTAGGGGTCTAGGGGGTCTAGGTGGGTCTAGGGGGGGTCTAGGGGGGTCTAGGGGGTCTAGGGGGGGTCTAGGGGGGTCTAGGGGGGTCTGGGGGGGTCTAGGGAGGGTCTAGGGGGGTCTAGGAGGGGTCTAAGGGGGTCTAGGGGGGTCTAGGGGGGTCTATGGGGGTCTAGGGAGGGTCTAGGGGGGTCTAGGGGGGGTCTAGGGGGGTCTAGGGGGGTCTAGGGGGGGTCTAGGGGGGGTCTAGGGAGGGTCTAGGGGGGTCTAGGGGGGGTCTAGGGGGGGTCTAGGGGGGTCTAGGGAGGGTCTAGGGGGGTCTAGGGGGGTCTAGGGGGGGTCTAGGGGGGGTCTAGGGAGGGTCTAGGGGGGTCTAGGGGGTCTAGGGAGGGTCTAGGGGGGTCTAGGGAGGGTCTAGGGGGGTCTAGGGAGGGTCTAGGGGGGTCTAGGGGGGTCTAGGGAGGGTCTAGGGGGGGGTCTAGGGAGGGTCTAGGGGGGTCTAGGAGGGGTCTATGGGGGTCTAGGGGCGTCTAGGGAGGGTCTAAGGGGGTCTAGGGGGGGTCTAGGGGGGGTCTAGGGGGGGTCTAGGGGGGTCTAGGAGGGGTCTAGGGAGGGTCTAGGAGGGGTATAGGGGGGATCTAGGAGGGGTTTAGGGGGGTCTAGGGGGGTCTAGGAGGGGTCTAGGGGGGTCTAGGAGGGGTCTAGGGGGGTCTAGGGGGGTTTAGGGGGGGTCTAAGGGGGTCTAGGAGGGTCTAAGGGGGGTCTAGGGAGGGTCTAGGGGGATCTAGGGGGGTCTAGGGGGGTCTAGGAGGGTCTAGGGGGGGTCTAGGGGGTCCCGGCGGCCCCTCCAGCATCTCCGGAGTCATTCGGCTCCAGGTCCATGTCGGGCTCCGTGAGCTCTGCGGTGAGTTCGGCGGCGGTGCTGCTGGTGGTGGTGTTGGTGGTGGTGTTGGTGGTGTTGGTGGTGGTGTTGGTGGTGGTGTTGGTGGCGGTGAGTGCGGCGAGTTCGGCGAGCGTGGAGGAGGTCTCCTCTGAGAAGGGCGCCAGGCGGATGGGGGTGACACGGTGGTGGAGTTGGTGGTTGTGCTGCAGGAGGAAGGGGATGGGTCGGCCCAACGTGCCGCTGGACGAGGAGGTGACGGTGCGGGCCGTGACGGCGGCGGCGGTGGAGGCGGTGGCGGTGGAGGCGGTGGAGGCAGTGGAGGCGGTGGTGGAGGCGGTGGAGGCGGTGGTGGTGGACTCCACACTCGAGTCCAGAGGGCGGATTCCACTCACTGTGATCGGTGGGGTAGGAGGGGAGAGGAGGTGTGGACATTGAATTAGTTTGCACCGTACACGAAGCCACTCACTCACCCTCACACTCACTCACTCACACTCACTCACTCACACACTCACACTCACTCACTCACTCACCCTCACCCACCCATTCACACCCTCACCCACTCACTTACCCACTCACCCTCACCCATTCACCCACTTACCTACCCACTTACCCACTCACCCTCACCCACCCACTCACTCACTCACTCACCCACCCTCACCCACTCACCCTCACCCACCCACTCACTCACTCACTCACCCACCCTCACCCACTCACCCTCACCCTCACCCACTCACCCTCACCCACTCACCCTCACCCACTCACCCTCACCCACTCACCCTCACACCCACTCACCCACACACCCACCCTCACCCACCCACTCACCTACCCACCCACTCACCTACCCACCCACCCACTCACCTACCCACCCACCCACTCACCTACCCACCCACCCACCCACTCACCCTCACCCACCCACTCACCCTCACCCACCCACTCACCTACCCACCCACTCACCTACCCACCCACCCACTCACCTACCCACCCACCCACCCACTCACCCTCACCCACTCACCCACTCACCCTCACCCACTCACCCTCACACACCCACTCACCCTCACCCACCCACTCACCTACCCACTCACCCTCACCCACTCACCCTCACCCACTCACCCTCACCCACCCACTCACCCTCACCCACTCACACTCACCCTCACACACTCACCCTCACCCACGCACTCACTCACTCACTCACCCACCCCAAACACCCACACACCCTCACCCACTCACCCTCACCCACTCACCCTCACCCACTCACCCTCACCCACTCACCCTCACCCACTCACCCTCACACACCCACTCACCCTCACCCACCCACTCACCTACCCACTCACCCTCACCCACTCACCCTCACCCACTCACCCTCACCCACCCACTCACCCTCACCCACTCACACTCACCCTCACACACTCACCCTCACCCACGCACTCACTCACTCACTCACCCACCCCAAACACCCACACACCCTCACCCACTCACCCTCACCCACTCACCCTCACCCACTCACCCTCACCCACTCACCCTCACCCACTCACCCTCACACACCCACACACCCTCACCCACCCACTCACCTACCCACTCACCCTCACCCACTCACCCTCACCCACTCACCCTCACCCACCCACTCACCCTCACCCACTCACACTCACCCTCACACACTCACCCTCACCCACGCACTCACTCACTCACTCACCCACCCCAAACACCCACACACCCTCACCCACTCACCCTCACCCACTCACCCTCACCCACTCACCCTCACCCACTCACCCTCACCCACGCACCCTCACACACCCACTCACCCTCACCCACCCACTCACCAACCCACTCACCCACACCCACACACCCTCACCCACTCACCCTCACCCACCCACTCACCCTCACCCACACACACTCACCCTCACACACTCACCCTCACCCACGCACTCACTCACTCACTCACCCACCCCAAACACCCACACACCCTCACCCACTCACCCTCACCCACTCACCCTCACCCACTCACCCTCACCCACTCACCCTCACCCACTCACCCTCACCCACCCACTCACCCTCACCCACCCACCCACCCCCACCCACCCACCCCCCCACCCACCCACCCACCCACCCACCAGAGCTGCTATCCGCGTCCCGCTGTGCCTGCTCTGCCCCCAGCAATGCCACCATGGACAAGTGGTCATTGTAGCAGCTCAGCATCTCCTGCTTTGTCTCTGGGCCTGGGCGGTGGGGGGGGTGGGGGGGTGGGGGGGGAGAAAGTACAGCAAGCGGGTTCACTCACTGCAGTGGCTATGAGACCTCGCCTGGTACACAGGAGGTGTCGTGGGTGAGATGTTGACTACCTCGCCTGGTACACAGGAGGTGTCGTGGGTGAGATGTTGACTACCTCGCCTGGTACACAGGAGGTCGTGGGTGAGATGTTGACTACCTCGCCTGGTACACAGGAGGTCGTGCTGGTGAGATGTTGACTACCTCGCCTGGTACACAGGAGGTGTCGTGGGTGAGATGTTGACTACCTCGCCTGGTACACAGGAGGTCGTGGGTGAGATGTTGACTACCTCGCCTGGTGTGCAGGAGGTCGTGGGTGAGATGTTGACTACCTCGCCTGGTACACAGGAGGTCGTGCTGGTGAGATGTTGACCACCTCGCCTGGTACACAGGAGGTCGTGCTGGTGAGATGTTGACTACCTCGCCTGGTACACAGGAGGTCGTGCTGGTGAGATGTTGACTACCTCGCCTGGTACACAGGAGGTCGTGGGTGAGATGTTGACTACCTCGCCTGGTACACAGGAGGTCGTGCTGGTGAGATGTTGACTACCTCGCCTGGTACACAGGAGGTCGTGGGTGAGATGTTGACTACCTCGCCTGGTACACAGGAGGTCGTGGGTGAGATGTTGACTACCTCGCCTGGTACACAGGAGGTCGTGGGTGAGATGTTGACTACCACGCCTGGTACACAGGAGGTCGTGCTGGTGAGATGTTGACTACCTCGCCTGGTACACAGGAGGTCGTGCTGGTGAGATGTTGACTACCTCGCCTGGTACACAGGAGGTTGTGGGTTCGATTCCGACCCCTGACGATGTCTGAGTGAGTGGGTGGGTGAGATGTTGACTACCTCGCCTGGTACACAGGAGGTCGTGCTGGTGAGATGTTGACTACCTCGCCTGGTGTGCAGGAGGTCGTGGGTTCCATCCTGACCCCTGGCCATGTCTGAGTGAGTGGGTGAGATGTTGACTACCTCGCCTGGTGTGCAGGTCGTAGGTTAGTGAGTGGGTGGTTGAGCGAGCGAGAGGGCGAGTGGGCGGGTGAGCGGGCGGGTGAGTGGGTGAGCAAGCAGGTGAGTTAGTGAGTGAGTGGCTGAGCGGGTGAGTTAGCGGGTGAGTTAGCGGGTGAGCGAGTGGGTGAGTTAGCGAGTGAGTGGGTGGGTGAGCGGGTGAGTTAGCGATTGAGTGAGTGAGTGGGTGGGTGAGCGGGTGAGTCAGCGAGTGAGTTATCGGATGAGCGGGTGAGCGAGTGGGTGAGTGAGCGGGTGAGTGAGCGGGTGAGTTAGCGGGTGAGTGGGTGAGTGAGCGGGTGAGTGGGTGAGTGAGCGGGTGAGTGGGTGAGTGAGCGGGTGAGCGAGCAGGTGAGCGAGTGGGTGAGTGAGCGGGTGAGTGAGCGGGTGAGTTAGCGGGTGAGCGAGTGGATGAGTTAGCGAGTGTGTTGGTGAGTGAGCGGGTGAGTTACCGGGTGAGTTAGCGGGTGAGTTAGCGGGTGAGTTAACAGGTGAGCGAGCGAGTGAGCGAGCAGGTGAGCGAGCGGGTGAGCGACTACCAACATATGGCTCCATCTCGCCCACGTAGAGCTCCGTGCAGCTGGCCAGCATGTTGAGTGAGAAGGTGTCATCCCGCCGGAGTCCCAGCGCCTGGTGGGGCGACGAGACGCAGCGAGAGGGTGACGTTGGCATGGTGACGTTGGCATGGTGACGTTGTCATGGTGACGTTGGCATGGTGATGCAGCGAGAGGGTGACGTGGTGAGGGTGAAGTTGTCAGGGTGACGTTGTCAGGGTGACGTAGTGAGGGTGACGTGGCGAGGGTGACGTTGTCATGGTGACGTAGTGAGGGTGACGTGGCGAGGGTGACGTTGTCATGGTGACGTTGTCAGGGTGACGTTGTCAGGGTGACGTCATGGTGACGTAGCGAGGGTGACGTTGTCTGGGTGACGATGTCAGGGTGACGTCAGGGTGACGTGGAGAGGGTGTTGTTGTCAGGGTGACGTGGCGAGGGTGATGTTGTCATGGTGACGTTGTCAGAGTGACGTGGAGAGGGTGACGTTGTCATGGTGACGTGACGAGGGTGAAGTTGTCAGGATGACGTTGTGAGGGTGAAGTTGTCAGGGTGACGTTGTCAGGGTGACGTGGTGAGGGTGACGTTGTCAGGGTGACGTGGCGAGGGCGACGTTGTCATGGTGACGTTGTCAGGGTGACGTGGAGAGGGTGACGTTGTCAGGGTGACGATGTCAGGGTGACGCTGTCATGGTGACGTTGTCATGGTGACGTTGTCAGGGTGACGTTGTCAGGGTGACGTGGCGAGGGTGACGTTGTCAGAGTGACGCTGTCAGGGTGACGTTGTCAGGGTGACGTGGCGAGGGTGATGTTGTCATGGTGACGTTGTCAGGGTGACGTAGCAAGGGTGACGTTGTCAGGGTGACGTAGCAAGGGTGACGTTGTCAGGGTGACGTGGTGAGGGTGACGTTGTCATGGTGACGTTGTCAGGGTGACGTGGTGAGGGTGACGTGGTGAGGGTGACATCATGATGACGTTGTCAGGGTGACGTTGTCAGGGTGACGCTGTCATGGTGACGTTGTCAGGGTGACGTTGTCAGGGTGACGCTGTCATGGTGACGTTGTCAGGGTGACGTTGTCAGGGTGACGCTGTCATGGTGACGTTGTCATGGTGACGTTGTCAGGGTGACGTTGTCATGGTGACGTGGCGAGGGTGACGTTGTCAGGGTGACGTGGCGAGGGTGACGTTGTCAGGGTGACGTTGTCAGGGTGACGTTGTCATGGTGACGTTGTCAGGGTGACGTTGTCATGGTGACGTAGCGAGGGTGACGTTGTCATGGTAACGTTGTCAGGGTGACGTTGTCATGGTGACGTGGCGAGCACCTTGTGGAAGTGGTCGATGGCCGACTTGAAGTGTCCGGTGAGGGCCAACACGTACCCCAGCGAGGCGTAGGTGGACGAGTTCTGTGGCACAAGCATCATGGCCTGCTGGTGGTACTCCAGCGCCTCCTCATAGCGCCTGCACACGGCGGGGGGTGAGGGGAGCACGCTTTACCACGCAGAGCCATCCAGTTCACCATGGGAGCGAGCTTGTGAGTGAGTGGGTGAGTGGGTGGGTGGGTGAGTGGGTGGGTGAGTGGGTGAGTGGGTGAGTGGGTGGGTGAGTGGGTGGGTGGGTGAGTGAGTGGGTGAGTGGGTGGGTGAGTGAGTGGGTGAGTGGGTGGGTGGGTGGGTGAGTGGGTGAGGAGGTGAGTGGGTGGGTGAGTGGGTGAGTGGGTGGGTGAGTAGGTGAGTGGGTGAGTGGGTGAGTGGGTGGGTGAGTGGGTGAGTGGGTGGGTGAGTGGGTGAGTGGGTGAGTGGGTGGGTGAGTAGGTGAGTGGGTGAGTGGGTGGGTGAGTGGGTGGGTGGGTGGGTGAGTGAGTGGGTGAGTGGGTGAGTGGGTGGGTGAGTGGGTGGGTGGGTGGGTGAGTGGGTGGGTGGGTGAGTGAGTGGGTGAGTGAGTGAGTGGGTGGGTGAGTGAGTGGGTGAGTGGGTGGGTGAGTGGGTGGGTGGGTGAGTGGGTGAGTGAGTGGGTGGGTGAGTGGGTGGGTGGGTGGGTGGGTGAGTGAGTGAGTGGGTGGGTGAGTGAGTGGGTGAGTGGGTGGGTGAGTGAGTGGGTGAGTGGGTGGGTGGGTGGGTGAGTGGGTGGGTGGGTGGGTGAGTGGGTGAGGGGGTGAGTGGGTGGGTGAGTGGGTGAGTGGGTGGGTGAGTAGGTGAGTGGGTGAGTGGGTGAGTGAGTGGGTGAGTGGGTGAGTGGGTGGGTGAGTGGGTGAGTGGGTGAGTGGGTGGGTGAGTAGGTGAGTGGGTGAGTGGGTGGGTGAGTGGGTGGGTGGGTGGGTGAGTGAGTGGGTGAGTGAGTGGGTGAGTGGGTGAGTGGGTGGGTGAGTGGGTGAGTGGGTGGGTGGGTGAGTGGGTGGGTGGGTGAGTGGGTGGGTGGGTGGGTGAGTGGGTGGGTGAGTGGGTGGGTGAGTGGGTGGGTGGGTGGGTGAATGGGTGGGTGGGTGGGTGGGTGAGTGGGTGGGTGAGTGGGTGAGTGGGTGAGTAGGTGAGTGGGTGGGTGAGTGGGTGAGTGGGTGGGTGAGTGGGTGGGTGAGTGGGTGAGTGGGTGAGTGGGTGGGTGAGTGGGTGAGTGGGTGGGTGGGTGAGGGCGTGAGTGAGTGGGTGGGTGGGTGGGTGAGAAGGTGAGGGTGTGGGCGAGTAGGTGAGTGGGTGAGGCCGTGAGTGAGGAGGTGAGTGAGTGCGTGAGTAGGTGAGTGGGTGGGTGAGTAGGTGAGTGGGTGGGTGAGTAGGTGAGTGCGTGGTTGAGTGGGTGAGAGTGTGAGTGAGGAGGTGAGGAGGTGAGGGCGTGAGTGAGGAGGTGATTGGTGCCGGACTCACTGCAGCTTGCGACACACGTGCCCTAGATTGTTCAAAAGAGGCTCCCACTTTTCGGCTGTGACCTGTGACACGAAAACGCACAGGTGAGCGGGTGGTGAGGTGAGTGGGTGGGTTGGTGGTGAGGTGAGTGGGTGGGTTGGTGGTTAGGTGAGCAGCTGGTTAGGTGAGTAAGTGGTTGAGTGGGTGGTTAGGTGAGTAAGTGGTTGAGTGGGTGGTTAGGTGAGTAAGTGGTTGAGTGGGTGGGTTGGTGAGTGGGTGGGTTGGTGGTTAGGTGAGTGGATGAGTGGGTGAGACGGTTGGTGAGCAGGCGAGTGGGTGAGCGGGTGAGTGTGTGGGTGGGTGGGTGGGTGAGCGGGTGAATGGTTGGGTGAGTGAGTGGTTAGGTGCGTGGGTGGGCGAGTGGGTGGTTAGGTGGTTGAGTGAGGGGTAGGTAGGTAGGTGAGTGGATGGTTAGGTGAGCAAGTGGGTGGGTGAATGAGTGAGTCGGTGATTGAGTGGGGGGGTGAGTCGGTGAATGAGTGGGTAGGGTGAGTGGGTGGGTAAGTGCGTGGGTGGGTGCGTGGGTGGGTGCGTGGGTGGGTGAGTGGGTGGTTGAGTGGGTGAGTGGGTGGGTGGGTGAGTGGGTGGGTGAGTGAGTGGTTGGTGGGTGGGTGAGTGGGTGAGTGGGTGGGTAAGTGCGTGGGTAGGTGAGTGGGTTGGTGAGTGAGTTGGTGAGTGAGTGTGTGGGTGGGTGTGTGCGTGGGTGAGTGGGTGGTTGAGTGGGTGGGTGGGTGAGTAGGTGAGTGGGTGGGTGAGTAGGTGAGTGGGTGGGTGGATTGGGTGAGTGAGTGTGTGGGTGCGTGGGTGGGTGAGTGGGTGGTTGAGTGGGTTGGTGAGTAGGTGAGTGGGTGGGTGAGTGAGTGGGTGGATTGGGTGAGTGAGTGTGTGGGTGGGTGCGTGGGTGGGTGAGTGGGTGGTTGAGTGGGTGGGTGAGTAGGTGGGTGAGTGAGTGGGTTGGGTGAGTGAGCGCGTGGGTGTGTGGGTGCGTGAGGGAGTGCGTGGGTGGGTGAGCAGGCGGGTGGGTAAGTGGGTGGGTTGGTGAGTGAGTACCTCATTCCCTATGGCCTTGATCTTGCTCAGTGCATCTGTAAAATGTTTGTGCGCTGCCTTCCAGCTGCGTGGGGCACAGGAGAGACAAAGGTGGCTGAGACCACCAACACATAGAGACCCGCAACCCACACAGAGACCCAAAGACTCACACAGAGACACAGACTCACCACACAGAGACCCACAGACTCACTCACACAGAGACCCACAGACTCACTCACACAGAGACCCACAGACTCACCACACAGAGACCCACAGACTCACCACACAGAGACACAGACTCACTCACACAGAGACCCACAGACTCACCACACAGAGACCCACAGACTCACACAGAGACCCACAGACTCACCACATAGAGACACAGACTCACTCACACAGTGACCCACAGACTCACCACACAGAGACCCACAGACTCACCACACAGAGACCCACAGACTCATCACACAGAGACCCACAGACTCACCACACAGAGGCCCAAAGACTCACACAGAGACCCACAGACTCACCACACAGAGACCCACAGACTCATCACACAGAGACCCACAGACTCACCACACAGAGACCCAAAGACTCACACAGAGACCCACAGACTCACCACACAGAGACCCACAGACTCACTCACACAGAGACCCACAGACTCACCACACAGAGACCCACAGACTCACCACACAGAGACCCACAGACTCACCACACAGAGACCCACAGACTCACCACACAGAGACCCACAGACTCATCACACAGAGACCCACAGACTCACCACACAGAGACCCACAGACTCACACAGAGACCCACAGACTCACCACACAGAGACCCACAGACTCACCACACAGAGACCCACAGACTCACCACACAGAGACCCACAGACTCACCACACAGAGACCCACAGACTCACCACACAGAGACCCACAGACTCACCACACAGAGACCCACAGACTCACCACACAGAGACCCACAGACTCACCACACAGAGACCCATAGACTCACCACACAGAGACCCACAGACTCACTCACACAGAGACCCACAGACTCACCACAGAGACCCACAGACTCACCACACAGAGACCCACAGACTCATCACACGGAGACCCACAGACTCACCACACAGAGACCCACAGACTCACCACACAGAGACCCACAGACTCACTCACACAGAGACCCACAGACTCACCACACAGAGACCCATAGACTCACCACACAGAGACCCACAGACTCACCACACAGAGACCCACAGACTCACTCACACAGAGACCCAAAGACTCACCACACAGAGACCCACAGACTCACCACACAGAGACCCACAGACTCGCCACACAGAGACCCACCCGACCCCATGCCCCCGCAGTGCCCTCACTTCTCGTTCTGGAAGGCGACGACCCCCATCTCGTGCAGCACGAAGGGGTCATCGGGGGCGATGCTCAGCGCCTTGCTGAAGAACCGCTCGGCCAGCCGCGGATTGTTGGTGAGGCCGTACTCCAGGCCGATGTACAGGAGCGGCAGGTGGCACCTGGGGTGGCGGGCGTGGCGGGTGGGGGTGAGGAGGAGTGGGTGAGTGGGTGGGTGAGCGTGCGAGTGGGTGAGCGTGCGGGTGAGCGAGTGAGCGAGTGTGTGAGCGTGCGGGTCGGTGAGCGAGTGGGTGAGTGTGCGGGTGAGCGAGCGAGCGAGTGAGCGAGTGGTTGAACGTACGAGTGGGTGAGCGTGCGGGTGAGCGTGCGGGCGAGTGGGTGAGCGTGCGGCTGAGTGAGCGAGCGAGTGGGTGAGCGTGCGGCTGATTGAGCGAGCGACTGGTTGAGCGTGCGGGTGAGCATGTGCGCGAGTGGGTGAGCGTGCGGGTGAGCATGTGCGCGTGCGGGTGAGTGAGCAAGTGGGTGAGCGTGCTGGTGAGCGTGCGGGCGAGTGGTTGAGTGTGCGGGTGAGTGAGCGAGTGGGTGAGCGTGCTGGTGAGTGAGTGGGTGAGCGAGTGGTTGAGTGTGCGGGTGAGTGAGTGAGTGAGTGGGTGAGCGTGCGGGTGAGCGTGCGGACGAGTGGGTGAGCGTGCGGGTGAGCATGCGGGCGAGTGAGTCACCCTCGCATGAGCTGCGCTGCGGTGAAGTAGGCAGCCATAGCCTGGTCGTGCTCACTCTCCACGGCAAACGAGTGGCCAAACGCGATCCACGCCGGGCCAAACATGCGGTCCAGAGAGGTGGACTTACTGTGGGAGGAACGCAGTACTCACTCAGTTAGACAATCACTCACACTCACACTCACTCAGTCACTCAGTTACTCACTCACTCAGACAATCACTCAATCACTCCATCAGTCACTCACTCACTCAGACAATCACTCACACTCCATCACTCACTCACTCAATCACTCCATCACTCACTCACTCAGACAATCACTCACACTCACACTCACTCAGTCACTCAGTCACTCACTCACTCAGACAATCACTCAATCACTCACTCACTCAGTCAATCACTCACACTCCATCACTCACTCGCTCACTCACTCACACTCACTCACTCGCTCACTCACTCACTCAGTCACTCACTCAGTCAATCACTCACACTCCATCACTCACTCACTCACTCAGACAATCACTCAATCACTCCATCAGTCACTCACTCACTCAGTCAATCACTCAGTCAATCACTCACACTCCATCACTCACTCGCTCACTCACTCACTCAGACAATCACTCACACTCACTCACTCGCTCACTCACTCACTCAGTCACTCACTCAGTCAATCACTCACACTCCATCACTCACTCACTCACTCAGACAATCACTCAATCACTCCATCAGTCACTCACTCACTCAGACAATCACTCACACTCCATCACTCACTCACTCACTCAGACAATCACTCAATCACTCCATCACTCACTCACTCAGTCAATCACTCACACTCACACTCCATCACTCACTAGCTCACTCACTCAGACAATCACTCACACTCACACTCCATCACTCACTAGCTCACTCACTCAATCACTCACACTCCATCACTCATTAGCTCACTCACTCAGACAATCACTCAATCACTCCATCAGTCACTCACTCACTCACTCAGACAATCACTCCATCACTCACTCGCTCACTCACTCAGACAATCACTCACACTCCATCAGTCACTCACTCACTCACTCAGACAATCACTCACACTCCATCACTCACTCACTCAGACAATCACTCAATCACTCCATCACTCACTAGCTCACTCACTCAGACAATCACTCACACTCACACTCCATCAGTCTCTCACTGACCCAGACAATCACTCAATCACTCCATCACTCACTAGCTCACTCACTCAGACAATCACTCACACTCACACTCCATCACTCAATCACTCACTCAGACAATCACTCAATCACTCTATCACTCACTCACTCAGACAATCACTCAATCACTCCATCAGTCACTCACTCAGACAATCACTCCATCACTCCATCAGTCACTCACTCACTCACTCAGACAATCACTCACACTCCATCACTCACTCACTCACTCAATCAATCACTCAATCACTCCATCACTCACTCACTCAGACAATCACTCACACTCACACTCACTCAGTCACTCACTCACTCAGACAATCACTCAATCACTCACTCACTCAGTCAATCACTCACACTCCATCAGTCACTCGCTCACTCACCCAGACAATCACTCAATCACTCACTCGCTCACTCACTCAGACAATCACTCACACTCACACTCCATCAGTCTCTCGCTCACTCACTCAGACAATCACTCAATCACTCCATCAATCACTCACTCGCTCAGTCAATCACTCAATCACTCCATCAGTCACTCACTAGCTCACTCACTCACTCACTCAGACAATCACTCAGTCAATCACTCCATCAGTCACTCACTAGCTCACTCACTCAGACAATCACTCAATCAGTCCATCACTCACTCACTCGCTCACCCAGACAATCACTCAGTCAATCACTCCATCAGTCACTCACTAGCTCGCTCACCCAGACAATCACTCAATCACTCCATCAGTCACTCACTCGCTCACTCAATCACTCAATCACTCCATCAGTCACTCACTCGCTCATCCAGACAATCACTCAATCACTCCATCAGTCACTCACTCACTCAATTAGACAATCACTCAATCACTCCATCAGTCTCTCACTCGCTCACTCAGTCAATCACTCAATCACTCCATCAGTCTCTCACTCACTCAGTCAATCACTCAATCACTCAATCACTCCATCAGTCACTCACTCGCTCACCCAGACAATCACTCAATCACTCCATCAGTCACTCGCTCACTCACTCAGTCAATCACTTAATCACTCCATCAGTCTCTCACTCGCTCACTCACTCAGACAATCACTCAATCACTCCATCAGTCACTCACTCATTCAGACAATCACTCAATCACTCCATCAGTCACTCACTCGCTCACCCAGACAATCACTCAATCACTCCATCAGTCACTCACTCGCTCAGTCAATCACTCAATCACTCACAATCACACTCCATCAGTCTCTCGCTCACTCAGTCAATCACTCAATCACTCACAATCACACTCCATCAGTCTCTCGCTCACTCACCCGCTCACCCGCTCTCTCGCTCAGTCAATCGCTCAATCACTCCATCAGTCACTCTCTCACTCAGTCTCTCACTCAGTTTCTCACTCAGTCTCTCACTCAGTCAATCACTCAATCACTCGCACTCCATCAGTCTCTCACTCGCTCACCCAGACAATCACTCAATCACTCACACTCCATCAGTCTCTCACTCGCTCACCCAGACAATCACTCAATCACTCACACTCCATCAGACTCTCGCTCGCTCAATCACTCAATCACTCACACTCCATTAGGCTCTCGCTCGTTTGCCCGTTCGCTCGCTCAATCAATCATTCGCTAAGTCACTCGCTCTCCCACCTGCCTACCTGCTCACCACACACCCACACACACACCCGCCCACCTTACTCACCCACACACACACTCACTCACTCACCCACACTCACTCACCCACCCACACACTCACTTACTCACTCACCCACACACCCACACACCCACCCACCTTACTCACCCACACACACACTCACTCACTCACCCAACCACACACCCACTCACTCACCCAACCACACACCCACTCACTCACCCACACACCCACTCACCCATCTACTCACCCACTCACTAACCCACACACCTACTCACCCATCTACTCACCCACCCACCCACACATCTACTCACCCACCCACATACCCACCCACCCCACACACCCACACAACCACACACCCATCTACTCACCCACCCATCTACTCACCCACACACCTACTCACCAACCCACCCACACACCTACTCACCCACCCACTCACCCACCCACCCCACTCACCCACACAACTACTCAACCCACTCACCCACACACCTACTCACCCAACCACACACCCACACACATACTCACCCAACCACATACCCACACACCCACCCACACACACACATACTGACCCACACACACCCACACATACTCACCGCACTCACCCACACACCGACACACCTACTCACCCTAATCACCCACACACCCACACACCGACTCACCCCACTCACCCACACACCTACTCACCCAACCACACACCCACTGACCCACCCACCCCGCCCACACACACACACCCACCCACACACCTTACTCACCCACTCACACACCCATCCTCCCCACCCACATACACACACACACACTCACCCACCCACACACCCATCCACCCCACCCACACACCCACACACCCACTCACCCAACCACACACCCACAAACCCACCCACACACCCACCCACATACTCACACACCCACCCATACACTCAACCACACACCCACCCACTCACCCACACACCTTACTCACCCACCCACACACCCATCCTCCCCACACACACACACACACTCACCCACCCACACACCCATCCACCCCACCCACACACCCACTCACCCAACCACACACCCACAAACCCACGCACACACCCACCCACATACTCACACACCCACCCATGCACTCAACCACACACCCACCCACCCACGGACACACACACCCATCCACACACACCCACCCACACACCCACCCACACACCCACCCACTCAACCAAACACCCACCTACATACTCACCCACCCACACACACCCACACACACACCCACCCACACACACACACAGACAAACTCAACCACTCAGCTAACCACACACCCACAAACCCACCCACACACTCACACACCCACCCACACATTCAACCACACACCCACCCACTCACCCACACACCTACTCACCCACCCACTCACACACCTACCCACCCACACACACACTCACACCCCTACTCACCCACCCACACACACACCCACACACTGACCCACCCACTCACCCACCCACTCACCCACACACACACCCACACACTGACCCACCCACTCACACACCCACACACTGACCCACACACTGACCCACCCACTCACCCACACACTCACCCACCCACACACTGACCCACCCACTCACCCACCCACCCACCCACTCACCCACCCACCCACCCACACACTGCTGCTAGCGAGCACCCACTCACGCTCGCACAGAGGGAGCATACAAACTGCGCGCACACAAAGGTGGGAATCGAACCCAGACCCTTAAGGCTGTGAGGCGCAAGCATTTCCACCACGCGCCCGTGCCTCCACCAAGTGGCGGTGGACGTGACTACGGTGCCAGGCTAGGTGCACCGCATCCTAACCTGAGGTATCTGCGGGCGTGTTCGTTCTTCTGCCCAATGACCAGGTAATAGCAGCCGACAGCAAACCACGAGACCTGGCACGGGGAAGGGAGAGAGAGACCAGAGTAGGTGGGTGAGTTGGTGAGTGGGTGGGTGGGTGGGTGAGTTGGTGGGTGAGTTGGTGAGTGGGTGGGTGGGTGGGTGAGTGGGTGGTTGAGTTGGTGGGTGGGCGAGTTGTTGAGTGGGTGGGTGGGCGAGTGGGAGAGTGAGTTGGTGAGTGGGTGGGTGAGTTGGTGGGTAGTTGAGTTGGTGAGTGGGTGGGTGAGTTGGTGAGTAGGTGGGTGGGTGAGTTGGTGAGTGGGCGAGTGGGTGGGTGAGTTCGTGAGTGGGTGAGTGGGCGGGTGGGTGAGTTGGTGGGTAAGTTGGTGGGTGAGTTGGTGGGTGAGTTGGTGGGTGAGTTGGTGAGTGGGTGGGTGAGTTGGTGAGTGGGTGGGTGAGTTGGTGAGTGGGTGGGCGAGTGGGTGAGTTGGTGAGTGGGTGGGTGAGTGGGTGGGTGAGTTGGTGAGTGGGCGAGTGGGTTGGTGGGTGAGTTGGTGAGTGGGTGGGTGAGTTGGTGAGTGGGTGGATGAGTTGGTGAGTGGGTGGGTGAGTTGGTGGTTGGGTGAGTTGGTGAGTGGGTGGGTGGGCGAGTGGGTGGGTGAGTTGGTCAGTGGGTGGGTGAATTGGTGAGTGGGTGGCTGCGTTGGTGAGTGGGTGGGTGAGTTGGTGGGTGGGTGAGTTGGTGAGTGGGTGGGTGGGCGAGTGGGTGAGTTGGTGAGTGGGTGGGTGAGTTGGTGAGTAGGTGGGTGAGTTGGTGAGTAGGTGTGTAAGTTGGTGGGTGAGTTGGTGAGTGGGTGGGTGAGTTGGTGAGTGGGTGGGTGAGTGGGTGGGTGAGTTGGTGAGTGGGTGAGTGGGCGAGTGGGTGGGTGAGTTGGTGAGTGGGTGGGTGAGTTGGTGAGTGGGTGGGTGAGTTGGTGAGTGGGTGGGTGAGTTGGTGAGTGGGTGAGTGGGGGAGTGGGTGGGTGGGTGAGTTGGTGAGTGGGTGAGTTGGTGAGTGGGTGGGTGGGTGAGTTAGTGAGTGGGTGGGTGAGTTGGTGAGTGGGCGAGTGGATGGGTGGATGAGTTGGTGAGTGGGTGGGTGAGTTGGAGGGTGGGTGGGTGAGTTGGTGGGTGGGCGAGTTGTTGAGTGGGTGGGTGGGCGAGTGGGAGAGTGAGTTGGTGAGTGGGTGGGTGAGTTGGTGGGTGGTTGAGTTGGTGAGTGGGTGGGTGAGTTGGTGAGTGGGTGAGTTGGTGAGTGGGCGAGTGGGTGGGTGAGTTCGTGAGTGGGTGAGTGGGCGGGTGGGTGAGTTGGTGGGTAAGTTGGTGGGTGAGTTGGTGGGTGAGTTGGTGGGTGAGTTGGTGAGTGGGTGGGTGAGTTGGTGAGTGGGTGGGTGAGTTGGTGAGTGGGTGGGCGAGTGGGTGAGTTGGTGAGTGGGTGGGTGAGTTGGTGAGTGGGCGAGTGGGTTGGTGGGTGAGTTGGTGAGTGGGTGGGTGAGTTGGTGAGTGGGTGGATGAGTTGGTGAGTGGGTGGGTGAGTTGGTGGTTGGGTGAGTTGGTGAGTGGGTGGGTGGGCGAGTGGGTGGGTGAGTTGGTCAGTGGGTGGGTGAATTGGTGAGTGGGTGGCTGCGTTGGTGAGTGGGTGGGTGAGTGAGTGGGTGGGTGAGTTGGTGGGTGGGTGAGTTGGTGAGTGGGTGGGTGGGCGAGTGGGTGAGTTGGTGAGTGAGTGGGTGGGTGAGTTGGTGAGTAGGTGGGTGAGTTGGTGAGTAGGTGTGTAAGTTGGTGGGTGAGTTGGTGAGTGGGTGGGTGAGTTGGTGAGTGGGTGGGTGAGTTGGTGAGTGGGTGAGTGGGTGGGTGAGTTGGTGAGTGGGTGGGTGAGTTGGTGAGTGGGTGGGTGAGTTGGTGGGTGAGTGGGTGGGTGGGCGAGTGGGTGGGTGAGTTGGTCAGTGGGTGGGTGAGTTGGTGGGTGGGTGGGTGAGTTGATGAGTGGGTGGGTGGGCGAGTGGGTGGGTGAATTGGTCAGTGGGTGGGTGAGTTGGTGAGTGGGTGGCTGCGTTGGTGAATGGGTGGTGAGTTGGTGGGTGGGTGAGTTGGTGAGTGGGTGGGCGAGTGGGTGAGTTGGTGAGTGAGTGAGTGGGTGGGTGAGTTGGTGAGTGAGTGGGTGAGTTGGTGAGTGGGTGTGTAAGTTGGTGGGTGAGTTGGTGCGTGGGTGGGTGAGTTGGTGAGTGGGTGGGTGAGTGGGTGGGTGAGTTGGTGAGTGGGTGAGTGGGTGAGTGTGTGGGTGGGTGAGTTGGTGAGTGGGTGGGTGAGTTGGTGGAATGAGTTGGTGAGTGGGTGGGTGAGTTGGTGAGTGGGTGGATGAGTTGGTGAGTGGGTGGGTGAGTTGGTGGGTGGGTGAGTTGGTGAGTGGGTGGGTGGGCGAGTGGGTGGGTGAGTTGGTGAGTGGGTGGGTGAGTTGGTGAGTGGGTGGGTGAGTTGGTGGGTGAGTTGGTGAGTGGGTGAGTTGGTGAGTGGGTGGGTGAGTTGGTGGGTGAGTTGGTGGGTGGGTGAGTTGGTGAGTGGGTGGGCAAGAGGGTGAGTTGGTGAGTGAGTGGGTGGGTGAGTTGGTGAGTGGGTGGGAACGTTGGTGGGTGAGTTGGTGAGTGGGTGGGGGAGTTGGTGAGTGGGCAGGTGATTTGGTGGGTGGTTGGCTTGGTGGGTGGGCAAGTGGGTGGGTGGTTGAGTTGGTGGGTGGGCAAGTGGGTGGGCGGTTGGACGAGTTATCGAGTGAATGGTTGAGTGGGTGGGTGAGTTGGTGGGTGAGTGGTTGAGTGAGTGGGTGGGTGAGTTGGTGGGTGAAAGGGTGGGCAAGTGAGTGGGTGGGCGAGTGAGTGGGTGGTTGAGTGAGTGTGTGAGTGAGTGAGTGAGAGAATGAGTGAGTGGGTGACTGAGTGTGTGTGAGTGTGTGAGTGAGTGTGTGGGTGAGTGTGTGGGTGGGTGAGTGAGTGTGTGTGTGAGTGAGCGAGTGAGTGGGTGAGTGGTGAGTGAGTGAGTGTGTGAGTGAGTGAGTGGTGAGCTGCTCATTCAGAGGAGGAGTTGGAGATGCTGCTGCTGAGACTGGAGCGTGCCACTAAGAGGTGGAGCCTTACCATCAGCCCCACCAAAACTAAGCACCTGCCTGGGTATTTTGTACCATCAGACACTCCACCCCCACAACTCCCAATCGGTGATGGGGCAGTTGTGGAGAGAGTGGAGAGTTTCCCATACCTGGGCAGTGTGCTTATGACTGGCTCCAGTTTAACAGCAGAGGTCTCACTCCGAATCAGTCAAGCGGCAATATCTTTTCATCGGTTGCGTAACGCTGTGTGGAAGCTACCTGGTCTGTCGCTCCGCACTAAGCTTCAGGTCTTCTCGGCCACGGTCATTCCCTCCGTTCTCTACGCTTGTGAAACGTGGACCCTCCTAATGGAACATCTTCGCCGGTTAGAAACATTTAGGCTGGCCTGCCTACGATCCATCCTGGGTTTAACCAGACTGGATTGTGTGAGGAGCTCACAAATCCTTGAAAGATCTGGGCAAGGTCCCATCGGTGAGCTCCTCCGGCGGGCAAGGCTGCGATGGCTGGGTCATGTAGCCTGCATGCCCAGCCACCGCATGCCGAAACAGCTTTTGTTCGGCCGGATTGAGGGGGCTAAGCGGGCGCGACATGGGCTAGAGAGGAGATGGAGTGATGTGGTACAGGAGGACGTGGAGCTGAGTGGACTTGCCGATGACTGGTACCAGCGGTGTCAAGATCGGCCTCTGTGGAGGAGGCTCGTTAAGGATGCTACTGGGCAGTTGGAGGCAGTCGCCCTCCAACAACAACGGAGGGCGGAGGAGCGATGCTCAGAACAATGAGCGGAGCGCCGGGTGGCTAAAGCACAGCAGGTTGGCACAGTAGGGGGCACAGGTGGTGCATCAGCCAGTCATCTCAGTCAGTCGACCCGTGGCACCTGGGTCTGCCCCGTGACCTCCTGCCAGCGGGCGTTCGACACTTCACGTGGCCTCAGGGTGCACATAGCCTGGCACAAGCGTCGTGGTGACGTCACCGCCACTTAGTGGCGAATGGCGGTTGTTGTTGTTGTTGAGTGAGTGTGTGAGTGAGTGAGTGAGTGTGTGAGTGAGTGAGTGTGTAATTGAATGAGTGTGTAAGTGTGTGAGTGTGTGAGTGAGTGTGTGATTGAGTAAGTGTGTAAGTGTGTGAGTGTGAGTGTGTGAGTGAGTGTGTAAATGTGTGTGTGAGTGTGTAAGTGTGTGAGTGTGTGAGTGTGTGATTGAGTAAGTGTGTAAGTGTGTGAGTGTGAGTGTGTGAGTGTGTAAATGTGTGAGTGAGTGTGTAAGTGTGTAAGTGAGTGAGTGTGTGAGGAGCTACTCACTGAGTTTGCAGGGTAAAGGTCCACGAGCTTGTGAGACAAATAGAACAACTCTGAAACAACATCAACAACAACAACATCAACAACAATATCATCATCAACATCAACAACAGTATCATCAACATCAACAACAATATCATCATCAACATCATCAACAACAATATCATCAACATCAACAACATCAACAACAATATCATCAACATCAACAACAACATCAACAACAATATCATCAACAACAATATCATCAACATCAACAACATCAACAACAATATCATCAACAACAATATCATCAACATCAACAACAATATCATCAACATCAACAACAATATCATCAACAACATTAACATCAACAACAATATCATCAACAATAACGATATCAACAACATCAACAACAATATCATCAACAACAATATCATCAACAATAATAACGATATATAATATCAACAACTTCTCTTCAACGTGACTTTACCGAAAGAGCTAAGAATATGAATAATAATAATAACAACTATATCAACATCAACAACACCATCAACAACATCAACAATAGCATCATCAACAACATCAACAATATCATAAACAACATCAACAACATTAACATCATCAACATCAACAACAATATCATCAACAATAACAATATCAACATCAACAACACCATCAACAACATCAACAATATCATCAACAACATTAATATCAACATCATCAACAATATCATCAACAACATTAACATCAACAAGAGCAGTGGTTATTATTAACATTCAGAATAAGAGTATTTATTTAGACTGCAACAGGAGGAAATCCAAAAAGCTATGAAGCTCTTTGCCACGAGATGTTCCAGTAAGGGGCACAGGGTCACACAACAATTCTCACAAACGCGATAGGAGTGCAAGGTATAGGATATGTAAACACATCACCTAAAGAGGACTTTCGTTTTATCATACCAGGTAAACTCGAGCGGCAGCAGCAACAGCAGTAGTAGCAGTATAAGCAGCAGTAGTAGTAGGTGTAGTAGCAGCAGTAGTAGTAGCAGCAGTAGTAGGTGTTGTAGCAGTAGTAGTACTAGGTGTAGTAGTAGTAGTAGCAGTAGTAGGTGTAGTAGTAGCAGTAGTAGCAGTAGCAGCAGTAGTAGTAGGTGTAGTAGCAGCAGCAGTAGTAGTAGTAGGTGTAGTAGTAGTAGTAGCAGCAGCAGTAGCAGCAGCAGTAGTAGCAGCAGCAGTAGTAGCAGCAGCAGTAGTAGTAGGTGTAGTAGCAGTAGTAGCAGCAGTAGTAGTAGTAGCAGCAGCAGTAATAGCTGTAGTAGCAGTAGTATCAGCAGTAGTAGCAGCAGTAGTAGTATTATTCACAGCAGCAGCAGCATTAACAGTAGTAGTAGCAACAGTAGTAGCAGCTGCAGTAGTAGCTGTAGCAGCAGTAGCAGCAGCAGTAGTAGTAGCAGCAGTAGCAGCAGCAGTAGCAATAGTAGTAGCAGTAGTAGTAGCAGCTGCAGTAGTAGCAGTAGTAGCAATACTAGTAGCAGTAGTAGCATTAACAGTAGAAGCAGCAGTAGTAGTAGTATTAACAGCAGTAGTATTAACAGCAGCAGTAGAAGTAGTATTAACAGTAGTATTAACAGCAGTAGTAGTAGTATTAACAGTAGTAGTAGTATTAACAGTAGTAGTAGAATTAACAGTAGTAGTAGTATTAACAGTAGTATTAACAGTAGTAGTATTAACAGCAGTAGTATTAACAGTAGTAGTATTAACAGTAGTAGTATTCACAGCAGTAGTATTAACAGCAGTAGTATTAACAGTAGTAGTATTAACAGTAGCAGTAGTATTAACAGCAGTAGTATTAACAGTAGTAGTATTAACAGTAGTAGTAGTAGTATTAACAGCAGCTGTATTAACAGCAGAAGTAGTATTAACAGTAGTAGTATTAACAGTAAAAGTAGTATTAACAGCAGCTGTATTAACAGCAGAAGTAGTATTAACAGTAGTAGTATTAACAGTAAAAGTAGTATTAACAGTAGTAGTATTAACAGTAGTAGTAGTATTAACAGCAGCAGTAGTAGTAGTATTAATAGTAGTATTAACAGTAGTAGTATTAACAGCAGTAGTAGTAGTATTAACAGTAGTAGTAGTATTATTAGTAGTAGTATTAACAGCAGCAGCAGTAGTAGTATTAACAGTAGTATTAACAGCAGTAGTAGTAGTATTAACAGTAGCAGCAGTAGTAGAAGTATTAACAGTAGTATTAACAGCAGCAGTAGTAGTATTAACAGCAGCAGTAGTAGTATTAACAGTAGTATTAACAGCAGTAGTAGTAGTATTAACAGTAGCAGCAGTAGTAGTAGTATTAACAGTAGCTGTATTAACAGCAGTAGTAGTAGTATTAACAGTAGCAGCAGTAGCGGTAGTATTAACAGTAGTATTAACAGTAGTAGCTGTATTAACAGCAGTAGTAGTATTAACAGTAGTATTAACAGTAGTATTAACAGCAATAGTAGTAGTATTAACAGTAGCTGTATTAACAGCATACAGAGAGAGAGACAGAACAAGCAAACGACCTCCTCCTGTACACCGGGCGAGGCAGTCAACATCTCATAGTGGTGACGCACCATTAGTCTTGCAGAGTTCCACAAGGACTCCGATGTGGATGGGCAGGCAGGAGGAGTGGTAGGGGTCCTTGCTCATGATCCTGCGTGGACGCACGGCACAAAGGCGAAGAACCCCCGTGTAGCTTCTAACAGACTGTTGGGGCAAGTGCTGTTCGTGGCAGTGCCTGTGACAGCAGGCCCTGTGACAGCAGGCGCTGTGGCACACGAGGGGGTGGGTGGCCAGCACCACGCCTGGCTGGTAGTCCTGTTTGTGTGTGCATGTGTGTCTGTGTGTTTGTCTGTGTGTGTGTCTGTGCGTGTGTCTGTGTGTGTGTCTGTGCGTGTGTGTGTGTCTGTGTGTGTGTCTGTGTGTGTGTCTTTGTGTGTGTTTGTGTGTGTGTTACACACGCCGATGTGAGTGTGTAACAGGCAGGGAAGTCACAGTTGTAGTAGTGCCTGTGTGTGTCTGTGTGTGTGTGTGTCTGTGTGTGTGTCTGTGTGTGTGTGTCTGTGTGTATGTGTGTGTGTCTGTGTGTGTGTCTGTGTGTGTCTGTGTGTGTGTGTCTGTGTGTGTGTCTGTGTGTGTGACTGTGTGTGTGTGTGTGTGTCTGTGTGTGTGTCTGTGTGTGTGTCTGTGTGTGTGACTGTGTGTGTGTGATGGCTCCCTATTGCTCAACCACGTTATGTATGCTGATGATTTGGTAATAGCTGCTCAGTCAGAGGAGGAGTTGGAGACGCTGCTGCTGAGACTGGAGCGTGCCACTAAGAGGTGGGGCCTTACCATCAGCCCCACCAAAACTAAGCACCTGCCTGGGTATTTTGTACCATCGGACACTCCACCCCCACAACTCCCAATCGGTGATGGGGCAGTTGTGGAGAGAGTGGAGAGTT